GTTGGTCCTTTGCAGAAAGTAGCATCTGTGTGGAAATTTGGAAACCTCAAAGAAATCTATTCTTAGAGTGGACAAAAGTCCAGCCTTGTTCCACAGGCCGTTCACATGAGACCAAAGCACTGCTTCTAAAACTTAGCAGCTGCTAAACAAGCTTACCCTCACTAATCGACCCCATAGCCAAATAATCTATGTAATTACTCGGGATGACTACAGCAACGGAAAAGCTCTTTAGGGTGGATGTCATTAGACCATAAGTTGACCCGACACCTAGGCCTACTCAAGACAAAAGTACAAGTAAAAAGTACAAGTTTTTCCACGCGGAAAAAATCCCGCACATATTCAATGTACTGTGGTATGTGGTCAGATTAAGCTATTTGAATATGAGTCCTGGACGACGTTGAAGTTGTAAAAGCGGATCAGATGGACTAAAAAATGTCCCTTAATACAATCGTTAATTAGTGTATTTTTGTATATATTATCAGGTCTACTCACCCAGAATGTGTTTCAGAAGCAAACTGCGGCTGTTTCTTAAATGTTAGTTCGCGCGGTACTCCAGCTCTTTCTGTGAATCAAGCCTCCGCGGGTCTCCCGTTATCCACAACTGGCAATAATGCAAAAAAGTTTTGTGTTGATAAACAGCCCACCACATAGAGATACTTCACTGTCCTTCAAACTACAATAAATACGCTCTTACTCGTTTAAGAAGTTGCTCGCGTCTGACTGCAAAGACAATCCATCTGTCCCAACCCCCATCCATTACTGTATCCCCGTCTGTCAACTCTCTGAAAGTGCCGCTCTCTGCAGTCCGCAGGGAGAGTGTAACTTTATCCTTGCTGCAATATTTTGATACCATGCTACATTTTTGTGCAATTTCTGCCGCAATAAAAGGGATAGTTAAGCAAGGACAGTAATTTGTTTAAATAAATCCATTGTGTGTGTGTGTAAATAGAAATAGAAATATGTGGCCTAGTTGACAACTTTTAGGTTAAAAATGTATAATAAATGTATAATAAAAATTTTAAATATATAATTTACTAAAAAATCGGACGAAAATGTAAAAAAAATGCATATTATTTTACGTTAAGTTACGTTAGAAAGTGTAGGCTATGTATCTGGTCATTATCTCAAATTTTTTAAAATCACATTTTTACCTTCAGTGGGCCTATTTTTCACTAAATTACCCTGTGATGTGACAAATGAATTTTTCGACGTCCATATGCTATTCTCTGCTGTCTTTCAATTAATTCTGATGTAAATTGAAGTATATGAAGTAGGCTATGTCACATTACTCTACATTTAATATATATAATGGCCTTACATTTTCCTAGTTTTTGTCTGTCATGCAAAATTAATAAATGTGAAGTATGTAAACGTGGGATCTATTGCTTTCTTATGAGACTGAAGAACTGACAACTAGGTTTGATGTGTCACTGTACACCCAAATTATGCGACCCCCTTCTGTTTCACTCGCATACAATATCCAAAGCTAAACAAAAGCCCCATTCATCTCAGAGCTCTTGCTCCGCCAGCTGATACTGAATAATGAACCTCAAGGGGAATCTGGGGATCACAAGGATCACACTGGTTTTCATCGTCAGAAACCTGAATGAGCTTGGTCACTCAGCTTATTCTTTTCAGTAGATTGTATACGAATAATGCTTAGCACAGACATGGCTATTTTTAGTATGTATGTATTTAATAAGCTTAAAGAGAAAAGACGCAACACTTCACAAGGAAGACTGAGCAGCCCGGACGAAGGGGCCAGTTGAGGGATAAATGTCGGCCATCACACAGACCTGTTTTGTCTTGTTGAAATAATCCATTGCCACCTGGATGTATGGTGAACATGACTGGGTGCAGATTCAACACTTAACTACAAGTTACCAGTCGAAGACGTGTCTAAACACACCAGTGGCCCTAATGAACCACATGAAACAGCTGGAAGCCTGGAAAATGTACTCATCCTTACCCTATCTACCCTTTAATTTTCAGGAATGAAAACGAGGCTTAGAGAGATAGAGGCTTGGGGGGTCTGTAGGTTGCAGTTTGCTGCATGCTGAAACATTGCCTCCCAGTCTCGTTTTACTTTGTACAAAATTAAATATTGTGTTTATCCTGAATACGTTCTATTTCCTTTCCAACTCAACTTCCTGCTCTAAATGCTAGACTAAATATGTTTTTAGTGAAATTAACTTTAAATGTAGAACACTAGATAACCCATTAGGGGGCAGTTATCTTATTTTAGCATGTGACTAATAACTGTGGGACTTAGTTATGTGACTAGTAAATAGTGATATCTAGTGGCTGTTTTATGTAATTGCATAATTTTCATTCAATATGGAACAAGTGTACATTTTGTTTACCTGAAAGGAACGGTTTACCCCAAAAAATGCAAACTTGCTAAAATGTACTCACCCTCAGGCCATCCAAAATATAGATGAGTTTGTTTCTTCATTGGTACAGATTTTAAGAAATTTTACATTACATCACTTGCTGAGCAATGGATCCTCTGCAATGGATATCTAAGTGTCTTCAAATTTTCATTTTTGGGTGAACTATTCCTTTTAATTAAGTTTTAATTTAGTTTTTAGTTTCCTTTTAATTTAACAGATCTTTTGATTCTTTGATATTTTGTTAATCTTGTGCTCTTTTCTCTTTGGCAAGCTACTGTATATCCATCAAGAAATGAGCAAAACTGAAAAAAGTGTTTTCTTATTTTCTGTATTAACACAGTGTATTGAATGTAATGTTCAGGTTCAAATTGTTGGCATAATAAACGATAATACAATAGGATTGTAATGTACAAAATATTGAATTTGAGTAAATTAATTTAGAAGTGTCTGTGATGCTGTTTGTGAATGTTAAAAAATGTTTTAATTCTAAACATATTTCTGTCATGACAACTCTCGGAGGGATTGGCATGGTAATGTACATGACAATGTTAATGTATTTGGTCTTGGCGGAATAGATCTGCCACGCTGCTGCTGCGGCAGAGCAAGTACCGAGACTTGCTACTGCCAATACATCCACAACATGCTGCGGTAAGCATGTAAGAAATACTGCTGCTGCACATATAACACATATGAATAACCCCCATATAGCATACATGAATCACCCCGTAGCAGATTTATACAGGTGGAGCTGGGGAAGGTGGAGGGTTTCTGAAGTGCGCTGCAAATTGCTACAGCAAACAAAAGCCAGGTATTTGAATACTGAGCAGTAAGCTAATTGGCTACCGATACAGGAGAGAACCAATCAGCTGCCATGTGACAATGATGTTGCCAGGTCAGATTGAGCTAGACCTATCGGACTGCGCCATCTAGAGTTTCATGCCAGAACTCTGTATTTGTTTGTCAGTGGGATAAGAGCCAGTTCTTATGTGACAGATTAAATATCAGTTTTTTAAAAATGCAAACTGATAAGTGCCATTTTCATTTATTTTTTAAAATCACCTTTATCATAATCATCATCACTATCAATTTTTTGAGAGTACAGGTCAATACAATATACAGTTCTGATTTTTCATAAAGAAAATAAATTTTAACTGCTTCAATATGAGGTACTAGTCAGACTCCTCTCTTCTTGTAATATACAAGGATGGAGTATATTTTTCACAAATGATCTTGTCAATTTTACCCTTTCTGAATCACCATTAGTGTTTTGCATTTAAGGTAGAGAAACATGCATAATTTCAACAAATTCCCTAACAGTATACCACATCTAAAACCCAGCTAGTAAAAAAATATAAGCAAAGGTCATCTAAACCTGCCCTACAAGTGGTCAAGACAGCAATACTAGTATATACAGTCAGTGAGGGCAACTTTGGCGTCATTTGTGATCATACCCTCAAAACATGAACATAGCATAATTTGCTTCCAAGCATGCAGTACAGTGCTTTAAAGGGGTCATATGATGCGATTTAAATTTTTCCTTTCTCTTTGAAGTGTTACAAGCTCTTGGTGCATAAAGAAGATCTGTAAAGTTGCAAAGACTAAAGTCTCAAATCCAAAAAGATATTCTTTGTAAAAGTTAAGAGTCAACTTAGCGTAACTTTTATTCTCGCTGTTGTATTGTTGCTGCCGCCATGTCGTGAAGGCGCTGTGTGTTTCGTTGTGAAAGCGAAATTACTTTGTTTGGCCTTCCAAAAGAGGACACGACTAGAAATCAGTGGTTAAGTTAATTTACAACACTGTTTCAGAACAGTTTAAATCAAATATTCCGATGTGTCCAGTGCATTTTATGGAGAACTGTTTCCTGATCCTGGTAGAGTAGACTACAATGCCGGCTGTTCTGACTCACAGACTGTAAGTATGTTTTTTATATTTAAAGGATTTGCCACATGATTCAAACGCAAGTTTTTTAGCAGTGTAGAGTAGCGCTTGTTCTTCGTCATTTCTCCGATCACAAATGCAGACATGGTTTTATGTTTACGCAGCGCGATGAAACGTGTAAAAAGACAGTATAAGTCATTATAATCCGTAATTATGTCCCCACTGGATGCAACAAATGCCTCGTTTATAATGGGTTTTAATGTTTTTGTCTCGTTGCTCGGCCGGACAGGGCATCACCGTATGGTAGGTGCACACGCTTGAGGTATTCGGCCAATCACAACGCACTGGATAGCTGGCCAATCAGAGCACACCTCACTTTTCAGACCGATGAGCTTTGTAAAAAATCGATGCGTTTCAGAAAGGCGGGGCATAGAGGAGAAACAATAATGTGCAGTATGTGGAAAATAATGTGTTTTTTAACCTTAAACCGCATAAACACATTTCATTACACCAAATACACAAAATAATGTTATATTTAGCAACATCATATGACCCCTTTAAATGATACCACACAACCCCATGGGACTTCGTAACCCAATATGATGCACCCCTTTGAGTGGAAAGCACTCCAACCTCCCAAGAGATCAAATGTAATGGAAACTATTAGGAAGAATAGGGCAGGCAAGCAAGGGCAAGGGGAGGGCAAATGGGTGGCTGTGCTGGATTCATTCACCAGGGTCTCCACATGGAGGGATCGGCTTCTGGAAAGAAAGGGGAAAGGGCTGATTGTGCTGGAGACTGAGGGGAAGGAGACCTGGGGGGAGAGGACTGTTCGTGTGGTCTCTCTCTAATCAGTGGGACTCTGGGAGAGTGAGGAGGGCTGGAGGGTGGGGAAGGAGTTGGAGGGGTGTGCAGGTGGAGAGGGTGGGGATGTAAAGAGGGCAGGTTTAGAGGGGATTGTGTCAGGATTCGAGGAAGAGGGCTGGGAGTGCCAACAGAACTCGTGCTGCCGGCTTCGGTGCTGATATGGGGAAGAGATTTCAGCAAGTGGTTTAGCAGACGAGCACCCAGAGACTTGTCCATCCCAGGGCAGCTCAGGAGCAGGTTGTGCACCTCATGCATGCACTGAATATAGCCGCTACTGTATCTTTGTCGAGACTCAAACCCAGTGCCTGGACTGAGGCTACCACCTGAAAATAAAATATAATTTATACATATAGAACCATGGGAGTGTTTGACCCCATTTAAACCATCATAAATTTACCCTTAAAGATTAGGGTTTGTTTGAATGTTTGAAATAATATTAACCTTAAATATCTGTGAAAAAAAGGTAAGATATGGTTTTAACAGTCTAACCTGAACCTCTTTGAAGGTTCTCCATGTACTGAACTGTTATCTCGAGAACATCTGCCTTCTCTAATTTAGATTGCTGTGGGAAAAGTTAGAGAAAAAATGCAATATAAAATGATTTTTTAATTATTTATTTGAATAGAAAATAAAATAATTAAAATCCATGTACTGTATTACTTGAATTATATTTGTGCAACAAGATATATAAAGAGTGTTTCTATATTTTATTGTTTATATGGGTCACTTACATCCAAATTGTAGGCATCCACCATAATACCCTTTAGTTGCTCAAGGCTTGAATTGATCCTCTCTCTGCGTCTCTTCTCTATCAAGGGTTTCCACAGCTAAAATGATGAACAAGCAAGTTTTAGGGTGTATGACATATTCATTAGACATTCTTAAGGGATTCATTAAGTACAAATTTGACAATACAAGACTTACAACACATGTGCCAGTTCTGTAAGCTGTATGTTGTGAAATATTAATTGGACATCCCAAATAAGTAAATTGCATGTGAGTATTCAACATAAACTACTGTAATGCCTTGACTAAAGTTACTTTGAGTGTCAAGTTATTTAAATTATTTTATTATTTGATTCAATATTCAATCACTGACAAACTCACAACAGTATACATGACATACATCAACAGATTTTAGCACCGGATGAGGAAAAAACATGCTAATTGCAATCTCCTTTCACTCATTTTGTATATAAAAACCTAAAACTAAGATATAGGATATAGGCCTACTGTGGAAACAATATTGAGATTAGCAAAACAAATAGTTTTATGTAACAGAGCTATTTCTGAAATTTAGCTAAGTTTTTGTTTAGATATTGTCAATATAAGTTACTCACACAAACAGCAGTCTGGAACACGTTTATATACATTTTAAAGCTGCTCTGAATGATTTACTAAAAACTGCTCCATTTCATCCTACGTTCATTTATTTTTATCGCTTTCTACATATATCCCTCATTGAACAAATAAATAAATATTTTGCCATCGTTGCATACATGAAAACAACACAAAATGATAGAATCTCACTACCTTTCGCTTTTCTTTTGTGCTGAAATTCTTCTCCGGACCGCTGCCGATATTAGAGGCTGTCATTTTTCTGCAGATCTAGGTAGTTTAGAAACCTTTTCACTTTCCCACGATTATTTATGAAAGTTGTGGCGTAGTCTTGGTAAAACTAGAAACTAAACAGTCTCACTTAACCTAGTTTAACAAGTACTCCCCCTCAAACCTCCACCCACCGAAATTACCATGACAATGCATGGGTGCTTTTTGTTGCACGATTTCCCACAGTCTCGGGTTTGGCCTATTAAATAGCGAATCCCACGTTCCACTGCATAGTCTGGTGCATTGAGAAAAAGCAGCACAGAGTTCAAAAGTTTGACTTTACAAGTGACTCACTGTCAGAAATAGTGAAAAATGAAAGTGGCTGTCACCTTATTTAGGGACTATTAACACTAAAGTGAAAAGTAATTTTAGCACAACGAGGATGCACCTGTAGAGTTAATTATCCTGTTTAATTCTGTCCTTAAACCTGGTATAGAGCATATAGGTAAGGGCATTAAGTTAAATGCACTGCGATGCATTTGAAACATGAATTCCAGATGCAATATTAATAATAATATGCAAACAAAAACAATCCACTACCCCAACAAAGACAGAGAATGTTAAAGGTTGGAAGAAGGTAACGTGCAACAATAGCCAAGAAATCTTAGTTTTAAAGTGTTTTTAAAGTAGGAGAACTCCTATTATCTCGTAGTTTCCCACCCCTTCCATGGCGTGCGACTTACCACTAGGGGGGTGCTCAGTCTACAACAATGACATTAGAGTGCAAAACATGAATGCATTAGCTGATAATGCTACCTCACATTGTCCCTGGCTGATGCTTTAGAAACTCAAGAACTTCTGCTGGTAGAATGGTCTTTTACAACAACTCTGTAATGTAGGAATAAGGCAGTGGTTTTCATTTCCTTGTGTGTGTTTTTAACCTCAGCGTCTCTCCTTCACGCGCTCCGCCTGTGACTGTCACACGATTGCGCTCGCGCTCAGGCCGTCTCACTGACACATTTTTGAGCAGTTGATGTGTGATCTCTCCTTAGTACTCGTGGCCAGTAATGCTACAGTGAAGTAGTTTTACAATGGCTCTCGGTCATACCGACGACATTACCTGAGCAGTCGAAGGCTGCGCATTTATTGCATGGACGGCAGGCCCGGTACTAGGCTCGCTGGACTGGGAGGGCCATCAGAAATTGTGGTAGGGCAGCACTTTCTAGGGTAATATATTCATAGTTTACTTTTATTTAGGCTACTCAATTTTCAGTCTTGCATTTTGTGTCTGTGTGAGTGCAGAAATGTTAAATATGTGTGTAGACAATATCAAGCGAATCACACCCACTGCTCCGGGTGTGTGTTCATGGTGTGTGTGTGTGTGTGTGTGTTCACTGCTGTGTGTGTGCACTTTGGATGGGATAAAGGCAGAGCACTAATTCCGAGTATGTCACCTCACTTTTCACTTTCACTTATCAAAACTATGAAAACCTCCATTACACGACATTTATGAATGTCCTCATTTATAAATACAATACATAGTTTTT